CTAATTTGCGAGACGAATTTATAAATACTAATTAATCCATAATTAACATGCGTTTACTATAGCATCATATTCGCTAATCATAGACTAATTATGCTTAATAGATTTATGTCGGGAATTAGTCATGGCTTATGCAATTAGTTTTGTAATTAGTTTATATTTCACACTCATAATTAGTATCCAACATTTGAAAGGGCCTAAGAAAAGTAAAATAGATGGGAGAGGGAGAAATTGGGGGAAGAGGATGAAATGGATAGGGAGAGAAAGAGGGAGAGAGTGTGAGAAAAAAAAACATTAAAATTTAATGCGAGCCCACTTAAAGAAACTAGCAATCCGAGGATGTAGTTTGTTGCAGTATTTTTTTATCTACATGCGTCTATCTATAGAAACTATCTCATGACGATTGTCCTAATCAACTAGCTGACACCTGGGAAAAGTAGTTGCGGAAGAAAGCAAACTAAATGGCAAGACCATCTTGGAATTGAGAAAAAAAATATACCATCTAGAAAAAAGTTTATTGCTCTTTTACAATTTTTCTCAGAAAATATTTTGGAACACTCCAAAAAAAAGTTTCAGAGAACTTTTTAACATAAACATTTTCTACATTTTGTTTCATAACCTTTTTAGAGAAAATAAAAATATAAAAAATTTGTTGAAAAGATCATGAAGAGAGAAGGGGGCTCAAAGACTAATGTCATAGGGTAGATGAATTTTGCAGTATCTTTTGCAATGCATCACAAAGGGCTAAACGGCGGAGACTGGGAGAGGGGATAGTGAAGGAAAGGACATGTGGTAGTGGTAAGTATACTTGGCCATGCAGCCCGAGGCACGACGGCACGGCATGAAACCCGCTTTTTTAGCCCGACACGAGCACGGCACGGCCCGGCCTGAGTCAGCCGGCCCGGCAGCGGCCCGGACACCCCCTCCCCCTCCTCACTCCTCCACTGACTCCTCCCCTCCCGGCCTCCCCGCGGTCCAGCGCGCTACGCGGCCCAACTCCCCGGCTCCCCGCCTCCCCCCCACTCCTCATATATAAACTCATGTCGCGATCGCGGCGGCTCACATCCAAAAACCCTAGCTCATTTCACTCGCTCGCCTGTCGCCTCGCCTCGTAGTCTCGCTCTCGGCTTCGTCCTCCCCGACTCCGGTGAGGAGACCTCGACGATCCGCTTTGCCCGTCGTGAGCGAGCAGCTCCCTACCCTCCTACCTAACCCCTCCCCCTCCTCCCTCTCCGCCTCTCCCTTCTCCCTATCCCTATCTCCCTCTAGATCTCGGTGACTATGTGATTTCGTGTCCGTCTGCCCTCTTCCGCCGCCGCCGTCCTTCTAACCGTGTGTCGTCTTCTCTAGGTGGCCCTCGTCTTCTCCGGCACCAGCTTTTTGGTTGCGCAGGTACATCCGTAACCCCTAACCCTAACCCCGCCTACCACCAATGAGCAACTCCCTACTACTAAGTCCTACCTAATCCTCCCTCTAGATCTCGTTGATTATGTGAGTTGGTTGTCTCTGTTTGTCCCTCCTCCGCCGTCCCGCCGTCGTTCTTTGACCGTGTCGTCTTCTCTCCGACTCGGGTGCTCGTCGTCTGCCTTCTCCGCAAGACTCGATTCATGCAGTGAAACCCTAACCCTAACCCTTAACCATGTTCTAATTTCTTCTTTTTCTTTGTATGCTTCTAATTTCTTCTTCTTCCATTGTTTCGTAGGTCGGTAGCCGATGCATCGTCTTCTAGCTGTGGCTTAGAGCGAGCAAGGTGGCCACCCGCACCGTCGAGGAATGGGGCTGGAGAGGCGGCCATGGCCGACGAGGATGGCCTCCTGTAGGTTGGCCTGGCCCCAGAGGGCGAGAACGACGACGACACTCGAGTCGATGCTGCTGCGTTGTTCGGTATCGATCTTGAGGACGGCTCTGCTGCTCCGATCGATGTGGACATGGACGGTGGCGAAGGGGCGACAGCGACTACGAACTCCAACGGCTCTGCTCCTTCGGTTGCTGGTACATGTAACACTAGTAAGCGCAAATCGCCTGTGTGGACTGATTTTGAGGAGATCTATAATGTTATTAATGGTTCTAGAATTTGCACCAAGGCTGTTTGTAAGATGTGCAAATCTACCTTGTCTGCTAATCTGCTGCTGGCACTGGTCACTTAAAAAGGCACCAAAAATCATGTAGGATTAAAACTGATCAACGTGCTAGGGTTCAATCTAGGCTTTCATACAATCCTGATGGTTCTGTTTATAACTGGGATTATAAACCTAAAGTTGTTATATCTGAATTATGTCATTTGATTGCTAAGCTTGATCTGCCTTTAGGAATTGGTGAGACTGATGCTTGGGAAGAATACATTGTTAGAGCTCATAATCCTAGGTTTGTTAAGGTCTCTAGACAGACCACCACTAGAGATCTTGGCAAACTTTTTAATGAACGACGTAATATAATTAAGAACTATGTGTTGTCTGGTGCTTCTTCTGTTAGTCTGACATCAGACATTTGGTCTGGTAATGCAAAGGAAGACTATATCAGTGTTGTTGCTCATTATGTGACTACTGACTGGGAGTTACAGAAAAAGGTAATTGGTCTCCGCTTGATTGAGGTAAAACATACTGGTGAGAATATTGCAGAAAAAGTTGCTTGTGTGATTGAAGAATTTGGTTTGCTTGACAAGGTGTTCTCTGTTACTCTTGACAATGCTTCTTCCAATGCTAAGGCTATGGAAACATTGACACCTATGTTTGCTGGTTATCTAGGTTCTGAACCTGTACCTACACCTTCAGATCCTAATAAGGTTAAGTATCATCTTTTGCATCAACGTTGTGCTTGCCATATTATTAATCTGATAGTAAAATCTGGCTTAAAAAGGTTCAAACCTTACACTGAGGATTTCATAACTGCTATTAACTTTTTGAATTCATCTAATCAAAGGATTGCTTTGTTCAAGAACTTTTGCATTGCTAAGGATGTTAGACCTAGAAAGTTTGGTTTGGATATGGATGTTAGATGGAATGCTACATATCTTATGCTTAAACACCTGCTTCCATATAAGGATGTTTTTCTGTGTTCATTAATTCCAACTATGGCTCAACGTTGTTAACTGCAAGTCACTGGTATATTGCTGATAAAATACTTGAATTCCTGGAAGTTTTTTATGACTCCACAGTCACTCTATCTGGTGTTTACTATCCAACTAGTCCACTTATTCTGCACCATCTGCTAGATATTATAACTCATTTGCATGAAAGTTCAAAGGATCAGAATCTATTTTTCTATTGTCTATCCTATGAAGCTTAAATACCTAAAATACTGGAAGGACATACCTCTGATGTATTCATTTGCATTCATTCTTAATTCTTGAGGTAAAATGAGAGGTTTATTTAATGTTCTTACCATAATGCAACAAAAAACTGGTTTTGACTACGGTTCTTATTATGGTATTGTGAAAACTGAATTTTTTAAGTTGTTTAACAAGTATGAAGAAAAGTTTGGTGCAGCTAGGTCTCAAAGGAGGGCTGCAGATACTGCAAGCATCACAGGTAAGAGGAAGCAGGCACGGGGAAGAATTTTTGGAGGCCCTGGAACATCTGGTGTTGTTGGACCTTCCCCTGCCTCTGCTCCCAGTCCTTCTTTATCTACTTCTGCTGCTGCTTGTGAGCTATCTGCTTATCTGGACAGTGACAATGTCACTGCATATGAAGATGACTTTGATCTACTTTTCTGGTGGTGTGACCATAAGCTAACATATCCAGTGCTTTCTATCATGGCTAGAGACATTATGTCAGTTCCTGTTTCAACAGTGTCTTCAGAATCTTGTTTCAGCTTGACAGGAAGAATACTTGAGGAGCGACGCCGTCGACTATTGTCTGAACATGTGGAGATGCTTGCTTGCATAAAAGATTGGGAGCTGGGTGAAAGAAGACTGCAGCATGATGTTGACAACCAAGAACTGGTAGACTCCTTTGAGCATCTCTATCTTGATGAAGATGCATCTACTTCTGAGGCTCCTTCTGCTAGCACATCTACATCTGTGGCTTCTGCATCTGGTGGTTCTTAAGTTGAGAGTTGAGATTGAGACAGTGAGAGTGTGAGACTTGAGAGGTGAGCTGAGAGCCTGAGACTTAGATTATGATCTGTATCTGTGATGTATCATGTAAACCTTTAAACATGTTTAAGACTTATAAGAGTTGTGCTGCACTCTTTTTTCATTTCTGGGGTTTCTCACAAGGGTGAGTTTTACCCAGAAATGTTTTTAATGAGGCAGCATTGCACACAGCTCAGTTATCCTTTTAATTTCCTCTTGTTCTCTGTGTGTATGGTTTTGGTTTTGGTTTGAAGCTCTTCTAGGAAAAAAATACTTCAAATTTGAATACTTCTTGTTGAGATGAATTTTTTGATGTGTTTTAAACCCCGGGCCTCGGGCTGGCACGGCACGAATTTAGGCCCACAGGCCCGTGATTGGGCTGATGGCAAGGCACGAGGCCCGCAGCGGCACGGCACGGGAGGCCCGCGTGCCGTGCCAGCCCGACATCCTCCGGGCCGTGCCGAGCCGGGCCGGCCTGATGGCCAAGTATAGTGGTAAGCTACTCAAGGGTTGGCGGTTTGCCACTAATCTCACTCAGATCCAGATGTACACTACGGAAGAGGGAGACCTCCCACAATTATCCCATCCAATCACTACCCCACGAAAACGTGACTATAGCTTGGCTTTTAAGCCAAGTGGCTTCAACAAACTCTGAATTCTAGACAGCCTGTTCGTTTCGTCGTAAACGATCATGGATTATTTACTGTTAGCTAGTTTAGTGTGAGAGAAAAATACTGTTCTGTCTTATAATCCACAATCGTATACGAGCACGCGATCTAGAGGACCGTAGGAGCTCCAAGTAACCACGAGCTATTTGGTTGGGCCAAACTATGCTTCCTTTGATCTGCAATCTTTAATGTTTTAAAAAAAGATAGGTACACATATACGTATAGAATTAACAGCCGCTGCCCACGAATTTAAGTGCTACCTATTACTCAAGCTTAAATAGTTCCCTAGAATAAAGCACTTTGGAGCAACAGGATACCAAAAATTTTATTACAGAGGCTAATTCTGGAGTAAGATCACTTGTGGCCTCAGCAAACATTGTAAAATTTGCCGCCTTACTTGGACTCTTGATCTCAACATACAAGGATAATACCTGAGTTGCCACAACAATGTCATCAATCAATTTACAGAAAAATGTAAAATACAAACTGTGCGTTCAACACAGCAGTAGCTTCTCAATCTGTTTTCTACAGTGAATGGAAGCATTCTCATTATTTTGGTTCAACTGAGCGGCTTGTTTGATTCTATTCTATTGTCAACAAGGTTGCTTTTCTGATCAAGTTTCATGACAACCAGCTTAGTATTCTATAAATCACTCTGGCATTCAGAAAGAAGAGAGGATTGTCCATCCTTAAAAACCTTAACATGGCAGAGCATTCCTCCAGCTTCATCTGCAAACATTATTTTTCTTTGTTTCCTAGGTGCTTCAGGATGAGAAACAGCACTCTTCTTTGCTAGGCTCTGCAATTGAAATTTTAATACAGACATGATGAAAATATCAGTTCAGAGTCATTTTCTTCACTAAAAAAATAGTACGATCTTCAAAGTGGATAGATACAAACCAATATTTTACAAAAGCGACTGCAGTCTTTGTTCATTATCGACAGCCATTTCTTCGTAGTCCTCTCCACTTCTAATGCATCCTCAGAGGCTGCTCTGATCTGTCCATAGAAACATTGCACCACATTAATCAAATATAAACATCATTCGCGTTGCTTTGCTTTGCATAATTAAACATAAACTGGATGTTTTCTGAAATAAATTTAAAATTGAAGAAAAAACATATAACTGTTCAAATCCTGTGTTATGTACTTTGTTTTTCAGTGAAATAAAGATTTGAATCAGAGCATTTGGAATCCATGCTTAGACCCACATCTAATGGTCAGCTGGTATTTAACCTCAAACAGTTCCAACAGTATTAGAGGTAATTCATTGCAGTTGTCCTAATTGGTGGATATAGTATTCCTAGTCTCCTAGAGGAAACACTTTCAACAATTAATCTAAGGACAAAATCTGCACCTGCACTAACAGGTATGCTTATGGTACAAAAGAGTGCAAGTATGTAAACAAGACCAGCAAAAACTTTTTCTGCCAACAATTGACTTGCATGAGAAACAGACAAATTAATCAAATATTTTAGTCATGGAAAACGACACTGGGCTCAAAGTCAACGTGTGTTTTTTCTATACAAGGATATTAGCATGTGCTGATCTTAGCATCTATTCCCACTGTTCTAAATTATAAGACGTTTTAGCTTTTATAGATACATTGCTTTTACTATGCATCTAGACATAGTGTATATCTAAGCGTATAGCAAAAGCTATGAATCTAGAAAAGCCAAAACGTCTTATAATTTGGAACTGATGTAGTAATCAATTAAGCACTGACAAAAGAAGCATTGCCTGGTATTGTTAAACATTGCCAGCTAAAAAGGCAACACAGAAATGAAGACAACCAAACTAGTACATGGCTTCAAGGTTAAAGGAGTAATCAGATTGTAATCAGATTGTTCTTTTATGTCTTTAATGAAATGACGTGCAGCTCTCCTGCATGCTCGAGGAAAAAAAAGTAGTACATGGCTTTAAGGTTAAAGGAGTATCATATAAATAACAATCTTGAGAATAATTAACCTCTCTTATCATGTTACTGGAATCACATTATTTTGAGTAGCAGTTATGAAACATGGTGTAACTTCAACAAACAGAAGTGCTTATCTATTTATTGTGAGAGCAGCAACTTTACTAGAATTTAGAATGAGAAGTGCATATTCCATTTCATGTCTCACCCCGGCAATGTTAAAGTTAGGAAGTAAAGAATATGCTTCTGTTGACAAACTTTCGTCCACTATACTTTTCATGTGCTTCAAGCTCCTGATAAGCTTTGCAGCTATATTTTCTATATCATGCATCTGCCTTTGTGAAAACTCAACAGCTTTCTCAGTGTCTAAGACCACTGGTGAACTTCTCATGCAAGAACAAGTTGTCTGTTGATGGGGTGGGGATCCTGTTGACTTCAGAACTCCTTTGCTTGTAGGGGAGACAGAAGTCCTGCCCTTAAGTCTCCTGTCTGTGCGGAACATTGATCTGTCTTGCATGTGTGCTGGCTGAGGCAATGATATTGTACTTTTGCCACGATCTTCAATAATGATTTTGCTCTCTGCAACAAGAAAGAGTATGATTATAATTGATCTTGTAAAAATATTAGAAACAGACAGCATATATTGCTTACTCGATCTTTGGACTCCATCACACAAATCAATACCAGTCAGAGCACTGCAAAGCTTCTCCTGAGACGTCGGTGACATAATCTGAAAAAAAGAGGAAAACAAAAGATGTTAGTATGGCTATCTTGCTAATGCATATGCAATGGAACATTGTTGAAGGGATGGTTCAGACCTTTCTCTTGGACAGTAATACTCTTGGAGCATGTTCTTCAATTGATTCTTCATCCACAAAAATTTCTGGCTTTTGAATTCGCCCATCAGTTTCCAGAGAGGTAGCAGAAGAATTTTGATCTCCAGCAGATAATAATTGTTTTGATTCTTCAGCATTAGAGATCTCTGGCATGACACTGCTAAGGTTGAACTTATCACTACACGACTGGTATAACTGATGTTGAGGCACTAATTCTTCTTCTGATCCTTCATCATTATTAATAGATCTGCAAATGTCATAGTCTATTGTAGAATTTAACTTATAAGGCCAGTCCACATTAATGGGAGGTGAAATTTTATCATCTGAAGCCTTTTTGTCTTCAGGACAGTTGTCAGTGAAGTCAATAAGTGAGCTCTGAATCACAGCAGTATCTGGGAGTCCAGCAGAAGATTTATTTTTAGAGGCCGTCCTTTGTGCATTATTATTCAAAACATCATATACTATACTTTCTAGCCTTCCATCCTGTGCAACAAAATTGGCAGGATGAGCCAAGTCAATACTCTTGTCAAAGGTGAATGTATCAGTGGCTGTATCTCCAATTTCCATATCTAGTAACATATGCTTTGGTCTTACACCACAGCAGACTATTGAATCCAATTGTCCCTCAGCCTGCATCCGCGCAACCCCCTCAAGTGAAGTGCAATTCATTTCTGTGCTTCCACATAAATCAGAATGGGTATCTGTGCTAGACTCATCAATAGGAGACAACTCTGCCAAAATCTTTACAGGTTCATTCCCATGAACAAATAAATTCCAGTCCTCATCGTTATCTAAACGATCATGGCAGGACTGACTGAAAGAACAAGCCATAAATCCATTTGCAGTAGAAGACTTATCCATATCTGAATTAGTTATATTTTCAGATGTTTTCTGATGATTGCTCACTTCATCAATGAGACCCAATGAAGAATCAACCTCAGTTGCCTTTGCAGCTGTAATGTCATCAAAATTGTTTTCTTTGAAACTGCAGGTTTGTTCGCAGGAATGATCAGAAACATCGGCTAATTGAGCTGGTTGGGTCATGAAACAAGATTGAGGCACACGGTCATCACCCTCCATCAGCTTTTGTTGCAGCTCAAAGGATGAATGCTCAGGATTCTTTATGGAACAAATAGAAGTTCCAAATTCAGAGTAATTTGTATCTTCAGTTTTTATTTCACAAAGTACATCAGGTTTTGCACAGCTCGCTAGAGCTCCAGCTGTATTGTTCACTTCAGCACAACACATTTGCTCCCCAACTATTTCTTCAGTACAATCTGAAAGTGCAGTACAGAAAAAAAAACATTTAGCCACATAATTGAAAAACGATATGTTTATTTCAAGAAAAAGTATCTGCAGAAACAAGAAAAAAAAAACTCTACACATTCATCTAACACATCTAGACGATAATAGACAGTGATATAAGAACTGGAGTTCGTATGAACAGGCTAGTGACTCACCAATAACAACTTTAGACTGCTCCAGTTCTGCAACTCGCCTTCCAAGCTTCTCTAATACTGGGTCTTGCATTGTTGCTTTGAGCAGGGAGCTCTGTGCAGAACTAAGAATCTCATCTCTCTGTGATGTTGTATCTTCCTCTTTCGCAGCAAATGGAGATCTTAGTGCATCCATCTTTATATTTGCTTTAGCAGGAGATGCTTTTGGCCTCTTCTGTTTCAATACAATAAGAGGCTTATCAAGATCAATGTCATCTTCTGTTTTAGCCTGATTCTTAATGCCACATCCTTCCAATGTGATTTTTGAAGTCTTCCGATTCTTAGCTTTACACTGAGTTCTGAGATCCTTGAGGGATACATCATGACAATCTTGTTCGCTATCCTTGTCATTGACAGAACCAACACTTAGTTCAGAATCAATGACTTCAGTTTTGATCCTCTTAAAAGTAGAAGGATCCCTGTCATAATCTTCATCATAAATTGTGTGAATATTCTTGAACCTTGTAGATCTTCTAGGACAACCAAAATTAAGATTTGTGAGAGCAGAAGCAGGCATTGTGGCTTTGGAAAGCAATGGTACAGACTGAAAAATATTTCCTGTAGAAATGCAGAAAATCAAGTGTTATGATCAGGTGCATGCTCCATAGACGCATGAATATGGATGTTTCAAAAAGCGATAGGAGCAAATGGTCAGGCTCTGCCTAGCACCTAGGCAGTTATATTTTTCCAAGCAAGAGTAAGCCATGTTAAACACAGAAGATATGGCATATATATTAAAAGAAAGACTTTGACATTATCACATGTCCTTGAGTTCAATGACCATTATTCATCTTCTTCCATCTCCATTTGTCCCATTTTCCTTCACATATAAGTCCTAACCCACTGTAAGTGAAAAATGCCTAAACGTAACTACTAAGTCTAGGCGAAGCAATGATGCTCTGCCTAGTGCCTAGCGCCTAGGTGCCGCCTAGCACTGCTTTTTGAAACAGAGATGAATATCATCTCTCAAAAACGTAAGCGCATATCCAATGAGAGCATCAAACTTTCCAGTAAAAAAAAAGAAGGACATCAACTTAATGTAATAAGCAAAAATGATGTTGACAAAGAATCATATGGTAGTTTGCCCTTGAATTCTTCAAGATACAGGAAAACAAAGACGTGACACTATCGAAACAGCATAGAAACAATACATAAATGTGCATATGTGATCTTCTACTGACAAGCAATTGTATGTATGCGTTGTACAGGAATGATCCATAAACCACACTAGAAATAAGACACGAGACACTGCTATACATCAAGGACCAGACTTCCGCTACCCAGCACAGGGATTAAAAAATGAACAGAGAAATGGACAATCTTGCACGCATATTTCATTTTAAATAATGCATTTTTTCACATTTGCTCGTATGAATCAACTCTGCAGGGATTATAAAGGAAGAGGACAGAAGTCGCATCCCTGTACTCGTCAAGAAACCCCCAGTGGCATTCACCTTGAGAAACTGGGTGGCAATACTGAATACCTGCAACGAACACTTTTGCCCGAGAGGAGCATTGCTTCGCCAAATCCCCAGTGGCCAGTGCCACCAACCACACCCCCCAAAACAATAGCAACGGAAACAGTCCTAGCCACGGCTCATTCGACCAGATCGACTAACAGATCTGTAACTTTCGGTAGGGAAATGCCAAGATAAACAAAGATTTTTTTTCCAACAAAAAAGATAAACATAGATCTACGACGGCCCGCAGACCAGAGAGGGTTGTCGCCATCGCCCCGCCGCGGCGGCGGGCGGCGTGAAAAGCCGTAGGTGCTGACCTTGGATGACGGAGAAACGCGGCTGGCGAGCGGAGGGGAGCCGACTTCTTGGCAACGCCGGAATGGGGAAGGAGCTCTGGCGTCCGTGAGGAGGAGAGAAGGAAGCGGAGGGAGGAGGGCTAGGAACTTCGGCTTACTGTGAATAGTATAATTGCTGGGATGCGGGGAGGCCAAGGGGGCGCGCGCGCGAAGTAGCTGGGCAAATTTCGCGCCCTTGTGCGAGCGGGCGGGAAACTGCAGCCGCCAGCCCGCTGCTTGGAGTTTTTGAGTTTCGGGGGTGGGGTGGTGGGGCGCGGGGGGGAGATGTCAGATGGATGCGAACAGCCCAACAGCAACAGGGCGTGGCGCCGTGGGCCGTGGCGGCGGGCGGCGGCAGTGTGAAACTGTGAATCGACCGCTCTTCATAGGGCAGCTCCAACGGTCATGATATATTTAGTTGATACCGTAAAAAAGACAGAAAAATAAACTAGTTCTTCGTAGAGAGCTAAACTCACACACTCTTTTATGATTGACATAGGCTTTTTGCTTGATGTATTGCTCATGCTAGTTGCATTTGTTGTTTCTGCATGTAAAAGGTTTAAAGCACAATTAGCAATGAGTACCTTCTCCTAGGAATTTTGAGTACCATATTCCAGAAATTTTCTATTTTTTCTATAATTTAATTAATTTTATCTTAGCCAAATATTTTTTTGAAGCATCTAATAATATTTTATTAAGAACCAAATATTTTATTTGGATTCGTCATATCTAAATCTATTTAAGGGATTATCCCCATAAAATTCCTTAGATCTTATATATTTTTCTTGGTTTAAATATGATTTCAGAATTTACCTAGAATTATTTTAAAACTAGGAATAAACCTTGAAACTAAAAAGTCATAACCACATGGTGAAAAAATCATAACCCAGATGCAGTGGCTAACTATGGGTGTGCATCCAACGGTTGGAAAAGGGCCACTAAATAAAGTACCATTGGTTGATCCGTCGGGCGTCACCGAGGAGCACCGAGTCATAAGGTGCCTCTTTGTACACTATTCCTTAAATGGTTACATCAAAATATTCCTTGAATATACCTCACTAGATGATATTTGTCACGCTCCGGTAAGGAGCACCAGGTCATAAGGTGCCTCTATGTACATTGTCCCTCAAACGGTCCGAAAGGATCAAGATGTCCAGAAGAGGGTGAATTAGGCTCAATAAAAAAATCTTTCAATAATTAAATCGTATACTTAGCCCATTTTACCTCTAGTACCTAAAAGTGTTCTTTATTGTTCTACTGCACAAAAGTTTTGCACCATAGGTTCCAATCCTACTCTAGCATGGCAATTCTAAGAATATAAAGACATGAATTGAATTGCTCAAAAGTAAATGCTCAAAGTAAAGAGAGGAGAAGGAACGTGGTGATATTTTCCATGATATTAGAGAGTCATCACTCCTCACTAGTCCTCGTTGGAGCACTTGCGCAAGGGTGTAGCTCCCCCTTGATCCGCATAAGGATCAAGTGCTCTCTATGGGCTAATTCTTCAACACTCCGTTACGGTGAATCACCCACAACCACTCACAAGATGACTTGGGTCATCCACAATCTCCACCGGATGATCACCAAGCTTTCAATCACTACCGAGCCATCTAGGTGATGGCGATCACCAAGAGTAACAAGCACAAACTCTCACTTGACCATGACAAGACTAATGAGGAAGGTGGATGCACACTTGCAACGCCCTATGCACTAATGAGGTCATTAATCTTGGATTATCAAATCTCAATCACCCCACTAGGCTCTTGCACTCCCTTGAACTCCAAAGGTGTTTCTCAGCTGAACAAATGAGTAAGAGCAGTGAATTAAACGGGTAGGAGATATATTTATACACCCCTTTTCCAAACATACCCGTTGGGGTCCAACTCAGCAAATTATGAAGTGACCGGACGCATCCAGCCAGTAACCAACGACTAAATGATGCCAGCATTGATAGAGAGCCGTTAGAGTGACCAGACCCGGCGCAGTGTCTGGTCCACCCTGACCGAACATGTTCGGACAATAATTCATCTGCTACAGTGGGACCATCATGTCTAATCCCCCAACTGCGGCAGCGTCTGGTCGAGTTGAAGCACTATTGCGTAGGCTCTAGCACTGGCCAGACTCTGCTTGATCGTGTTCGGTCAAAGCAATACCTGCGTCCAGTTAGTTTTTCAACACACCATTCACTTCCAATTCGACGTCCTTTATGAATGAGGTTGACTCCACTTGATATTTGGGCTAAACTTGAGCTAACTAGTGCTAAGTTTGACAAGTGTGCACCACCCCTAAACCATTAGACTCACCTAAGTTAAGCTACTATTTCATACCCCCTCTTTATAGTACGACCAAAGGAAAAACAAAGTTCTAAACTACTTTAAGTGTCTCTCAACTACAAACGACACTTAGAACTAGTTCGTCCTTAACCTTGTTGTTCATCCTTTGAAAACCAAAATGATTTCCATCGATAGGGGCATGAAAACCACTGATTGCCCAAACAATCACCATTATCGTGACCTAACCCAAATTGCCTCTACAAAACACATGTTAGTCACAATAATCTTATATCGTGATTAATCACCAAGACCAACTAGGGGCCTAGATGCTTTCATGGTCACACCAAAATATTCAACCACTAAGGTTAATAGTGGATTATATGGTGCACAGAAGTAAGCATATCTAAGTTTGAACTAGCCATTGCACCATGTAACTGGGTGATCCATTGGAGTCACCAAGCCATTTGTAGGGGCAAAGCCAACCGTAGTGCCTCCTCATGCGCTTGCTTACAGATCCCAGTACCTATGAGGCGTCCTAGCGATGTTTCTGGTGGAGGAGATGCATCACACCGTTGTGGATGGACTCCAAGCTTGACTCCTAGCCGGACTAGGGAGAAGCTGCTCCCAATGCTTAGAAAAGGATTTGGGGAGGCGGACGAACTCCCACTACCAACTAGGTTGTAAAGGCAGCGTTGTGGGCACCATAATGGATGGCCTCAGTAAGACATGGTAGGTATGAAATTGCAAGCAAGAGTAGCAAAGGGCTGCCACGCAGAAGAGGGAGGTGGAGGCATCATGGAGAGAGGGAGGAACCATGAAAAATAAGGGATTAAGCGAGAGGGGAGACAAGGAGAGAGGAAAAGATGGATGGATGAGAGAGATCAATGTTGGATTAAATTGGAATTAACCAATTACATTTAGCGATTAAATCAAAGAAATTTCAAGGCTAGGATTAATGCTAGGTGAAACTCATGACATGTTAATAGGCATTAGGGATGTTTGAAGGAGAGTTAGTGGTTGATTAGTGAGTTACTAGTAACGGATAATTGATTTGTCTCATTACTAGTAACTAATATGGTCTTCATGCCATTATCAACTAGGTTGATTAGTGGGTTACTAGTAACGGACAATTTATTTGTCGGTTACTAGTAACTTACATGGTGTTTATGACCATTTATCAATCACTACACCGGTCTCTTCCTATTCCTGTAAGGCTACATAAGGCGCTCTCCTCTTATTCACAAGCACATGACACACAACCACGTCTCACCAATTCGCTGTTGAGTTGCTCCCGAGTTTCCCCGTCCCAATCCTTCGCACGCACAGAGTGTTGGGAGAGTAGGCCTCCGGAACCTTCGTTCAGCATAGCTTTTTGCTTTCGGGTGTCTTGCAGCGATCAGGTTTTAGGGGCGTTTCATGGATTGCTCGCTTCTTCCTAGCAATCACGTT